ATATATATATATATACACACACACACACACACACACACACACACACACACACACACACACACTTCTCAATTTTAGCCTCTAGGATACCGGGACTTTCTTCAGTGTGTGTGTGTGTGTGTGTGTGTGTGTGGGAGTGTGTGTGTGTGTGTGTGTGTGTGTGTGTGTGTAGATCGACACACAATAGATAACGTAAATGACAACAGAATACAATGATTTGCAAATCATGCTCAACCTATAATTAATTGAATATACTGTACTTCAATGACAAGATGTTTCATGTTCAAACTGATAAACTTCATTATTTTAGCCAAAAATCATTAACTTAGAGTTTTATGGCTACAATATATTCCTAAAAAGCTGAAACAGTTGGCATAAATGGGAAAGTTGAGCGATGTTCATCAAACAACTGTTTGGAACATTCCACAGGCTAACTGGGAACGTTCATTCATTCATTCATTCATTTTCCGATCCGCTTTATCCTCACGACGGTCACGGGGCATGCTGGAGTCCATCCCAGCTGTCTTCGGGCAGTAGGGGTGGCACACTCTGAACTGGTTGCCAGCCAATCACAGGGCACGCATAGACAAACAACCATCCACACTCACATTCACACATAGGGACAATGTAGAGTGTTCCATTAAACTGCCACACATGTTTTTTGGAAAGTGGGAGGAAACCTATACTAATATATATATATATATATAGAGAGAGAGAGAGAGAGAGAGAGAGAGATATATATATATATATATATATATATATACTATATACTTATATGTATATATGTATATAAGTGTTTCCATTCGTATGATGCCATGCATGAAAGTGGGTCACACTCCCAAGCGTAGAATATGTTTTGTCAAGTTTTGAATTGAATGACCAGAGAAGTGAAATCCCCACAAAAAAGAAAAAAATATATTTTAACTATATGAATCCCCTTGTCAGTGATGTACTGACAAATTTTCACAATTGTGCCATCATTAACACCGACCCCACCCCCCAATGACGTGGTGAAAACAAGCAGTCGGTCCCACTTGCTCCGGGAAACGACGTCGTATAACGTCGGTGTCACCGCCCCGCCGAGTAAGTGCGGAGGGTTACTTGACCCTTGAACTGCGGGGTCAGGTGACTCTTTGAGGCCATTGAGTGGCGAGCAGACGCTGTAGTAAATGGCTTAAAAGGGCTCTGCCTCAAAGGCTGACATGTCTGGACATGCTTCCTGAAAAGGCTGGCGGGGAGAAATTAGGGAGAGGTTCTAGTTCATAATGGCAATGCTCCTCTGGGATTTAAAAAGAAATTAACTGAGAAAGTGCACATATTTTTTTCAGACTCATTATCCTGACTTAGTCTGTTAAGGCTCTCTTCTTTTTATGATATCTATGACATGGAAAATAGTAGCAGAGGGAGGCAAGTAGCTGTACCTTTTGCCTGATGGTATTGCACAGCATAGTGGAACCTTGAAAGTGGAACAAATTTTGTCCCATAGGAAACGATGTAAAGGAAATTCATTTGTTCCATACTCAAGACCATCATAAAGCCTTTAACTGTGCGAACAAAATGTTCAGGGAGAGTTTACCATGCAAGTGTAAAGAGACGTTAACCACAGGATTGTCAGGCTGAAATAAAGTAAAACTACTCACCCTTTGACCGACACGGACTGGTGCGGGAACAGGGGTGGCTGCCAAAAATGGACCAAAGGTGCTTTCCGCATCCCTCCTCTCCCCTGTTAACTGACACACTTCGGAAAGAGGATGTTCTGATGACACAAGGAAACGTACAGTGGTACCTCTACTTACGAACATCTCAACATACAAAATGTTCAAGTTACGAAACGCCTCCGCAGGAAAATATTGCCTCTTGTTACAAAAAGAAATTTCAAGATACAAAAGGTAAAAATACAATATGGGCTGCTACTCGCAGCTCCGAGTTTCGTGAACGCAACATGCTTATAGCTGCTCTGCCATTGGCTATTACCGAGCATCATCCTGGCATCCCATTGGCTAAGAGGGACCTCCACCGTATGTGCGTAGATAGATATGTGTTTATGCAGCGTCCTCGTCATTTGCCTCTCAGGCCATGAGGTGTTCTGATAGTTTTACATAAATGTGAATCACCCAGAAAAAGTGTTCGACAAAAGCAAACGTCCCTGGATTAGTTCTTTACAAAACGGCAGGCAAAAACCACTTCGGGGAGAGAACATGAAGTAAAGAGGGCAAAAAAACGATGAGGGTGCAGTTAAAAGTTAACTGACCATCATTTTTATTCTTTATTTTTTTTGTGGCTATTCGTGTTTTGGAATAAGCTGTTTTGCTTCCTCGTCAATGAAACATTCACAGTCGGATGACATCATTTTTCCGCGCATTGGCGAGTGATGTGTTGGCCAGAACATAGCCGATCTCTGTGAAGTCATGTCGGCACACAAAGTTGCATCTTCACTCCATCGGCAATTTTCACGGCGGGCGGCATTGGAGCCCCTGGCTTGTTGTTTTTCATTTTCCATCATGATGCCATTTAATTTATCTGGGCGACTAGCGTTCTTAATGTTGGACCCTGATCATTTCAGTCAAATGAGGCTAAACGCGTTTAACATTCACAAAGTTTCGCCACATTGACTAACAGTGTGTGCGTGCGTGCGAAATAATTTTCATTCACCGTACTTGGAAGTTGAAGTGCTGGATTGGCCTTGGTTGCCGCCTTGTCTTTCTTGATGACGTGAGCAGTACAATGATGTGAATCCATTTGCGCCGGCCCTGCATTCGTGCGCTTTGGCAAGGATGATGTTATCAGGCCCGTTGAAAATGACGCTCTTCATTCTCGGTCCATCGAGACCTCTGCTGCTAACATCACAGCCTCACTCAATAGACAAACATCATGTGCATGTCGTGGCCTGAGGCTGTTTATTTACTCCGCGGTAGCGTACCGGGTGTCTTTTTCAGAGGGGGGGGGGGGGTTATTTGTATGATTGAATAGGTACACCCCATCACTTCATTTTTTTTCTGGGGAGGAGAGGGGAGGAACAAAACTTTTGATCAGCAGCTCTCCCTGCAACTGTGAACTGCAGCGTAACAGATGCCATGCGCATTGTGACACACAGGATAAATCCAATGCTTGTCACAATGACTCAGCCAGAACTCAATCCATCATGAACACCAGTGTCCTGGTTTTTGGCAAGCGTGCACTTTCCCGTGGGATGTTTCGGTCGTGGCGCCAAGTGATCCTTGACAAATAAAATCTATGCTGATGCAAGGTCATGTTGTAATTAATAATTACAGGAAAACTTTTATGTGATATTTTAGGATGCCGATCGACTCCCTGCTTTCTTAAACATTTTTTACCATTGAAAATAGTTTGGGTCAACTTGTCACCCCCAAAAAACAAAACAAACAAAAATGACATATGGGCACTGTTCTCAGAAGCATTTTAAGATTCTGTTTAAAACATATATTAACACACATATTAAATTTAAAAAAATACTGTTGTGGCACAAGTGTAAAGAAGTCGACCTTGATAAAATGCCAAAATAAAACCACTATATTTTTTAACAGGTATAAACACACATCCAGAGTACTCATGAGTTCTCTTCAAGTATAGTGAACAGCCTCTATTTCTGATGAGCATCGACGTTGTTGATCCTTGTCGTGAGGTAAAAAGCCACAATTAATTCAAAACCAAAAGCCCAATGCCAAACCACTTTTTTGTCATGTTAGACAAGGCTATGGCCTGAATAAATGAAGCTCCTTCCCTCTTTTCAACATAGTTGTTTGACGCCAGATGGCATCAAAGCAATTTTTTTCTTCTGTTAGACTCAACTTTGACAAAAGTGGCAATCGTGTGAGTATTTCTGCAAATAAATAACAGAAGGGTCCTCAGAAATTTGCAAAGGCTGAGTTGCGAATATGCAAAGCGAGTTCACTATGCCGTCCCGTGCAAAATCGGAACTTTTCTGATATTTTGGCCAAATATTTTGTCACTGACGTCATTTTTGCCATTGTGTGTTTCAGGCTGACACATGTGACGAGACGACCCAAGCGCATCCACCAGATAAATGACTGTTGTGGCAGTGCCGTAGCAGCACGGAATGGTTTGTGGGTTACACTGAGATGCAGGCCATACCGTGCTGCCACAGTGAAGCCCGACCCGCTCTTCCCGACGCCAGCCCGCCCGTCGCTCCACGCCCTCACTTGTAGCGTATCGGCACAGGTCACTTGACTGTAGCAGCACGTAAATATTGGAGTGGACTCTCTCAGCCGAAGCCTCCAGTATTGATCGTGCTGCTGAAGCAAAGATGACCACTCGCTCACAAACGCATCCACCAGAGTAAACCCTGTTGTAAAAAACTGATTCATGTTTCCATGAATAAACATGCTGGATAAATAAGATTTTGTCTGTCTTGTCATATTTTCGCTCCCAATCAAAAACATTCCACCGATGACAAATAGATGGCTTTTTTTTTAACTGTTCTTAGGTGCTATTAATGACAAACAAACATGAACAGCGAAGCCCATTTGAAATTTGTTGCTCAACAAAAAAGCAGAACATAAACAATACCTTTGCATTGCCGTGTTTGAAAGCAGAGATAATTCAGATCATAGTCACCTTATCTCGTTTGAAACTTGCTGTCAAATTGTGCTATACCACTAACATTATTTAATATTCAAAAATGTGCCCGACCTAAGAGTCCTGCATTTGAGTGAATAACCGTCCCTCATGGCCATCGTTGGAGGAAATACAGCACAAACCTGAATCAAGGGGGTCTTACCTGCTTGCATTTTTGGCTCTCAGTCCAAAGTTTGGGAAACACTCGCATCCTTTTAGGTTCATTCCGTTTTGAGCATTTAGGGCGAAAATGTGACAGTTTTGCAAATTAATTCGTGAGGAACTGTTGACGTAACTCGCAAATCACAAATTCTCATAATATGTCATAGGGAACATTTGAGCACTGAAGCATTTTTTCATAAATTCAAGAGGAGATAAAAACCAGAAATGGCCCCCGGTGAGCTAAAACTTCCCCGTGCCTGCATTAGAACTATCTAAGCGCCCTGTTTTCGCATTTTTATGCAGAGCTTGCTTTCGAACGTGTATTGCCTCGGATTGACTGTTTGTGGTTATTTTACAGTTGTTTTATGATTTTATTTCACGCTCATTAAATACAGTCATTCATTAATTGTAAGTGTTCGCCAGTAGTTTTCTTTTTAATTGCGTGACATCCTTTTGCCGCAATCGTCTTTTCCTCTACAAGGCGCGACCACTTTTATCTGTTTTTCGAACTAATGTGAGAAGAATAATAATTAAATTAACCACATTTTTCGTGATGATGAGCACAAGCAGGTAATTGCACGTGTTTTTATGCATTTTTCAGCTCAACGGGCCTCACGTTTTGGCCTTTAAAAAATGCAATTTATAGAATTGCTCTACCCGAGATTTTATTTTTTTCGTATTTCTTCTAAATTAGTTGTGTCGGCCTATATTTTTTTTCGTTGTTGTTGTCATTTTAAAGGTCACGTGCTTTGAAATGCACTAAGCCTGCACTTATAATCTGCATTTTAGATATCGCACTGACATTTTAAAAATTGGCCTGTTCAAAAAAGAAATAAGATGTGTGCTAACTACATGTATGGATTGTAAAACTTTATTTTATATGATAAGGCACAGCATGCGGTGATTCGTAATGCGGGGGATTTTTTTTGGGGAGGGGTGGCTGCGGGGAATTTACATGCGCTGTAATGCGTGCAGTGTATCCTTTAAATAGTGATGTTATCTATAAAAAGTAGTTTTTTTTCAAGGGTTAACGTTTCTATTAAATACTTGATGTGTATTGTGCACCATGCGGTTCTGCATGTTTGTTTTTAGGGAGAAAAATGGCTAACCATAAATCTACATTGTTGAATGTGTATTTATAGTTAAGAGACCCGCTAAAATATGAAATATTAATGTAAACGCGATGCGTGTATTTACACGCTATAATTGCATCGTCATATATATATATATGCGTGTGTGTGCGTGCTTGTGTGTCTGTGTGAGAGAGAGTGTGTGCGCGTCACTGCTGACATCACTTAACTCAGGCTGTTTTTAGAAATATATTTTCGGAAAAACACGTCCACATAATTGAAAAACAATATTGAATTACATAACAAAATTTACAGATTTTTTGTCAGTTGCTCACACATAAAACGTCAAGCCCTCCAAATAAATAATGCATGACCAAGTAGGCCAGCTAATTTTTCATTATTTGTAATATTTTTCTCTTTCTAAATGAGTGACAATTCTATTCTTTTTTTTTTGTTTGTTTTGAATTTTGAGGATGAAAGCTGCCCTTTTCTGCTTTAACGCCTTTTTGCGATCCTTTTTTTTCAAGCAGGCCTTGTTATGAAACGACTGTCACCTTGAAGAGAGTTGACAGGGTAAAGACAGATTTTAATCAAATGTAGCATCCAACTTAATTCAAACAAGCATAGAAAACGTATGATCGTCTGTTTTTATTTGGCAAAACCTTAAAAGAAAGGAATACGAGATATTTAATGAGGTTGTGTATAAGAAGTTCATGTACCCATTTTGCATCCAGGCTGCAGAATTTAATGGTGGTCCGGAAGAAGAAATGCTATTTCCTTCCCTTACATCAACGTACAGCTGCCAAGGTACGTGACAGCGGAGTCTATGAAGTTGCCCACGACCTGCGTGGACGCCCCGGTCACCTCCCACAGATGCTCCCGGGCTGCTGCCGCCACCGGCTCAGGTACCAGAAGGAGCAGCGTCGACGGCGCCAAGAGGAGACCCCACGCCAGGGCGACCAGGGTGAGCCACCGGGTTGACCGGCGGGATCTCCCAACCGCCGCCTCCTCCCTCTCGTGGGGGACCGTCATCTTATCGACGTCACCCAGCCTCACCGCGTCCCATTTTTTGACGTCGAGGCCGGCGTCTTCTGAAGGTGTACGAGCGGGAGGCGTCTCTTCCTTCTTCTTCTCCTCCTGTTCCTTCAGGGCCGCTAGTGTTTGTCGGAAGTCGTGCATGTGCTCGAGAAAGCTGAGCGGCTCTGTGACGCCGCGGAACGCCTCGGCAGCGGTCAGCGCGCTACGCTGGCGGTCAAGCGTGTCGCGCAGCCGCGTCATCTCCGGGTCATACGCCTGCATAACGGCCAGCCTGTGCGTCTCGAAGTCGCACAGGATCTCGCTCTTCTTGCTCTCCAGCGCGGCCATCAACTTGTCGAAGTAGTCACTCGCCCGTTCTGCGTCGTCGTTAACCGCCTGAAGTGCCCGCTTCTTGGCTGCTCGCAGCGTCTCCAGACGGGCGAGGGCACCCGCGCTCGGCCAGCCCTCGGCGCCGCGTAGCAGTTCTTCGAAGGCGCGCCGCTCCCGCTCGTACGCCTCCTCCAGGGAGCAGAAGCGGTGGCCACTGTGATCGTCGGCCGTCGCGCAGCAGCCGCAAATGAGCCTCAGGTCCGTGGCGCAGAACATGTTGAGCGGCTGCCCCGTGTGGTGGGCGCACACGCCCGTCTTGGGCGCCACTTTGAGCCGAGCATACTTCTCCACGATGCCGCGAAGGGAGTAGTTGACTTGAAGGCTGTTGGCGCCGTTGTGCGGGCTCTCCTTGCGGCACGTTGGGCACCTGAACGGCGACCTGGAAAAAGACAAGCCCCGGGGGGACTCCAGGAGAGCCTCGAGGCACTTCCGACAGAAGCTGTGCGAGCAGAGGAGGACGCGGGGGTCCTCGAAGAGACCGCAGCAGATCGGGCACGTCAGCTCCTCTTCCAGCTGCTCCATGTGGGTCTCCTGTCAACACACACATCGAGGAGGGAAAAAAAAGTAGGTGTCACGTCGGAGCATCCTCGCCGTCGAACTCATTTGCACGGCGTGACATGTCACATCCGCGGGCACGATGTCGAATGCCACGTAACATTCGGCCAAATGAAGTTCGATAAATCAAAATGGATGCGCTTGTTATCAACCGAAAATGACGTCGAATGCCGAAAAGCACCCCCGTCAACGGACGTCGAGTCCCGAAAAGCACCGCCGTCAACGGACGCTCGCTGTCACGAAGCCCGCCGGTCTCCGGTACACATTTAGCTGGCGCATAGTAACAAGCGGGGTAAAAAAAAAAAGCGACGCGCTTACTTACCAGCAGCTGGGAAGACGTCCGCTCTACGACGCAATCATGGCGCGTGTTGCCAAGCAGACTTCATCAACGTACTTCCGGGTTCAAGTTCAACCCTTTCCACGCCGGAATCGTTGAAAAATAATTAAAAAAAGCACAAATTCGTCAATCGTCAAATCATGACCAAATACAAAAAAATTTAATGTTTAGAAATTGTATACATTAACGTCTTATTTTTGACGAAAATTTACATGCAATTATAACTATTTTGCGTTTTTACCAATTACGCTTTTAGTTGATAGTCCCTAGGTGACGTAAAGAGGCGGGAGGTGCTGTTGCCATGCAAAACACCATGGCGTGAAAAAACTGTCAACTTGGTTTTAAACCCTGCTTGCGAGTCGTGCGCATTCTCATGCTGCCCTACTTATGTCACTCCGTGCGTGTTAATGTGCTACATCGTGATGAAATATGCAAATTAAACCTAACAACACTTAAAGGCTCACCTGTCACAACATTGGTACACCTTCTGCACCATGGAACCACAACAGCCGAATCCGAAAGAGAATGCATTCTTT